GGGTGTAAAATTGTTTTTGTTTAGTTACACATCCATTGATTTTCATATGGCATATAGTATAATAAAATACGCGTGTTATGTTTAAAAGTGAGTGATAAATGTATTTATATGGTGGTTGGTCAAAAAAATATTCATAACATACTTACGGCATTTCGTGCTATTTTTCCATATTTATATTTCTACAGCAGATATTAAAATAGTAATGTGTGGTTACGACGGGTGGCCGCGTTGTGGTTATGGGAGGCGGTGGGGTGAGGTGTGGGAACGGAAAGGGATATATTTTTGTTGTCAAACGCCCTCCCCCCCCTTGCGTGAACTACGTTTAGGAGCGTGACAGTTCCTCGTCAGTGGGCCTCCAGTGAGTACGCGTACCGTGGACGTTAAACACCTCAATGAGACTACGGAATGATCTCGAATGCTTCAGGTAAGTAACAAAAGCAATTTCTYGAAAAAGACAATTTAGAAGTTTTTAGTTAAAACAGAAATTTAGCCGTATTATTAACGAATATCACGTGAACTTAAGTAATATTATCACGAATAAAGTTTATGTTATATATTATTATACATATTGATATGGAGTTGAAGTGTGATTTAATTAAAAAATAATATATTACTTATATTATTTTTTCTTAACGCACTCGGTTAGATATAAATATAAAATATGCATCAATAAATCTACCACTATAGCTACTCAACTGCAGCAATTGCGTTCTAGTCATTTTAAGAATATGAAGAATGTTGAAGTCAATAAACTGTAAATATTGGAAAAACTGAAGTAAAAAAATTTTTTTGTCGAATAAAAATTCTTTTAGGAGGTATTTGAGTATAAATCAATTTAGTGGATAATTTTCATTATTACTATTAACATCTATATTCTATACATACCGGTTATAATAATAATATGTTCACAAATTTCGATASCAGAATTATAATTTAAAAAAATTGATATTTATATACTATTTAATGCAGTATATTATTCGTGTAGGTTCCTAGGTCCTACGTATATTGTGACCATATGCGCTATAATACACGATTCTAATTCCTGAACACGATATCTGTAAATAATATATGTATCGGTAAGCAGCCTGTCATTATTAGATGGAAAATCGATTTGCCATAAATACAAAATATTAAAAAAATACTACTTGTCTACTTATTTTTGAGTTAAGTTTTAGCGAAAATGTACTATTCAAAGAAAGCTGATTGAATGGAATGATATACTATATTGAGTCTCGTGTCAATGTTTGTCGAATCAACAGTCACATATTTGAATAAACAAGAGCTGATAAAATATTCCGCGATTTTAGTGACATAGTGCCTTACCATTTAAGTACATTTTGAGTGCTGAACAGAAATTTAAATCTAATCTGAACGTATTAAATAATACCGATTAATAAAATATTATAAGA